GGGATCAAATACTTATTTCATTCATGAAAATGCAAATTAATGTATAACTTTTTTGTAATGCATTTTTCTGGATTTTTTTGTTATTGTTGTGTCTCTCACTGTTCAAATAAACCTACCATTGACATTGTAGACTGATCATTTCTTTGTTAGTGGGCAAACTTACAAAATCAGCTGGGGTTCAAATCATTTTTTCCCTGACTGTATACTGACTGTGTATGTGTGTTATATTTGTTGTGTATATCTGTCTCTTGTTTTCTACGGGCAGGATTTACCCATGTTTCTCTTACTGTGTGAGGCCAAAGAATAGCAGGGTTTGTGCATGTTTGTCCTCAGATAGCGCCTGATAATAGTGTGTGTCTTTTTTAGTGAAGCCCAATTTACAAGTTTTTCGGGCAAAGTTTTCTGAGATCACCCCGAACTCCATTCGGCGAGCCTGCGAGACTCTAACGGAGCCGGATTTGAACATCAGTGATGCCGTTGATGTCCGTCAGGAGCTCGACCTGCGCATAGGTGAGGTAGCACGCTCTCCAGTGCTCATCTAAAACTGTACTTTCAGGATTATGAGATGCCCCAACAGGGAATGGTTCAGACAGAGTGATCACAATTTTGCATCTTGAACTTGAGTGTGGTTTAATGTCACTTTACCCATAGTGGCACAGTTTATCTGAAAATATGTCACAGAATGAAAATCCCTTTAGGTTTTTAATACGATCTCGTGTTCTCTCCTGTGTTCATCCTCTGCAGGTGCATCCTTCACTCGGTTTCAGACGCTCCGCCTGCAGAAGATCTTTCCAGCGGCTCTGGCCAATCAGCTGATCTCATACGGCAGCTGTCAGTTTCCCACTTTGGGCTTTGTGGTGGAGCTGTTCAAAGCCATCCAGGCTTTCATTCCTGAGACTTTCTATAAGATCAAAGGTACAACTCATCACACAAATCCAGGTGAGATGCAAGTATAGAGGTTTTACACTAGTATTCCACTGATCCTGTCTGTCTTTTTCTCAGTGGTGCACGAGGGCGAGGACGGCACTGTGGAGTTCAGCTGGAAAAGAAACCGTCTTTTCAACCACACTGCTTGCCTGGTGCTGTACCAGATCTGCATGGAGGTGAGCGTCTGTTTGTATGTGTATGTTTTATAGATTTGTGTTAATATGAATCTTTGCATTGTTGTGTCATGTGCGCTTTTCGATAGTTATAATGAATTAAATCAGGCTGTGTACCATCTAAATTTCTTAAGACCTAATGATTTATTCATTTTATTATGTTATATATTTTGTCACCAGGCTTTGTCGAGTTTCTTAGTTATGTTATCAACAGTGCTTTTAGTTTTTTTACTGGTCTTATCTGCTTCCTAGTCTCTCGTTTGTGTTATAGTTTCTTCTTATGTTGGCTTATGACAAACACAAGGTCGACTGTGTCTCTAGAAAACTCCTCAGTGTTTGGGGTCAAACACGACGTCATTGACTTATTTGATTAGAATTGAAGCATTCAGTGCATAAAATATGTCATCTTAAAACATTTTTTAGAATAAACTCTGCTCTGCACTAAATAAATCATTTCAAAATAATCCACAAACTTTTCAACTATTTAACCATTTCATCAGATCTTCTAACTAGAAGCTCAGTAACAGTCGTATTCTAACGTCAGCCTTACTAGCTTGCTAATAACATATTAGAAGAGTTGGATCTCTGCGATCGACGGTGCTAAAAAAGACAAACACGTAGAGGACGAGCTGTTCACAGACGGTTCGTCGTCATGTGTTTGTGTGTGTGAGAGAGAGAGAGAGGAATAGAGCGGGCACAGAGGGACCGAGGGAACACGTGCACGACACACAGCACTACACTGAAATAAGATTTAACCTACATATTTTAAATGGATATGTGAGGGTCAGTGTTGATATTGTGGCGGCCCACCACACATTAGTCAACGTAAGGGAAACGCGGTATTGTATCTGTAACATCACAAAGTATGACAGCAGTACTGTAATGAAGTCTGATAATAACACACACGTTGTGTATTTACAATGTCAGAGTGTGACTATATTTTCTTGTTCTTTTAATATTTATGTCTGCCGCTCCCACCGCGGCGTGTTTTTGTTTTAGCCCCTGTGTGGCCTCAGTTACTGCTGACGGGATGGAGGTTTTGTCTGAATCTGTGACTGTTGTACAAATAACATTCACACTTGTAGTTTGCCAAGATGCTCACAGCTGATGAGCATGTAATTATCACTTAGCTAGTTTTCACTGTTTTGCACAGAGCAAGATGTGAATATCAGGAGCCAAACTCAGGTCAGACAAACACAAACACTGCACGTCCCTGTACAGCAGCGCTCCCTCAAAACTGAACTTGTCTACTTCCTTTGGGTTTGTGAGTGATACATAGTGGTAAAAAGGCAAATAAATCTGATTGACAAGCGCTGTGACACTGTAATAGATATAAATAAGTAAATAAAGTCACAGTTGAATTATTGTCTATCACATCACACATGCTTAAAGCACTGCTAGTCGTCCCAAACCACTTAAAGGCTTAAGCAGGTGACCATCACAAGTTAGCAGCCTAGATTTGTTTATGTAGTGATGCTGCTGATCGGATCTGTCTTTACATGTATGTATTTGTTAGATAAGGCCAATTTGCATCCATGAATAAAACACTGCAAGCTACCAAAGTCTTCTTCCACTGCTAAATAGGTTGAAAATATTCCTGCATCCCAAAATCGATCTGGATTCTGTGGCGTCCAGGGAGACATGTGTACCGTACATTATAACTGAAGTACATGCCCCAGCTACACATTTGGTTGTCAAAGCCCTCTCTCTTTTGTGTTTCCTGTATTTTTGTTGCAATTGAAGATAAAATTGCAAAAATAACATCTTAAAAAGGAAATAAAAATGCTAACTTTAGCTTTTGCATAACAGGTACAAAATGTATTCACAGTGAAATGCAGCAGAGCAACACGAGGGAGTGAGCTCCTCTTAACAACATATTAATGTGATTATCCATGAGTTTAGTTATTGAATATAAATGCAAAATACACTGAGAGTTGATGTTCCCCACCTAGAAAGGCACCATGGAGTTGTAGATTTGTGTGTGTGCCTCTACTCGCTGGTGTATTAAGTGCACCCACACACATGTAACCTCTCCCCCTCCTGCAGCTGATAGCTCACGAGGTCACAGCACAAAATTTGAATGCTTGAATAAAATGGGCTAAAAGCCGTCATGTAAAAAGGTGCACACGAGAATATTATCTCATTCATTTCCAGGATCCCATAGCAACAGTCACCTCAGTAACCAGCAAACCCAAGAGCAAGTGGAGACCGCTGCCTTTGGACACCGTGGTAAGAATATGAAGTTAGACAGACACACACATACAGGATACAGCTGGACTGCGTTCCCCCCCGGTGCAACATCAGGTGTAGGGTGTTTGACCCTCAGGTTAGATGGACTACACTGAAAATACAGGCTCCAGAGTTCAAACTCAGTGCAACAAAAGTCAGATGATCTGATTTACCAGTTGCATGTGAGACTTCATAAAGGTGAGAGAGCATGAGTAGCTACTGGATATGAGCTGAAACACAGTGGTGAGGAGGGCCAGGAAGACAGAAGGAGCAGTGGCCGTCCTTGAAAAGGATGCCACACGGTTTGCTGTTTACACAACCTCGTTTTGTGAAACAGACTAAGTGATTCTCACTCGGCACAAGGATTATCTGGGGAAACTGGTGCTTGTAGTGTGATGGATGTTGTGTGAAGTTAACCTCTACACACGACATCCAACATAAAATCAGAATGAAACTTTGCCAAAGAACATAGAAAGAAGTGTGGTGAATATTTCCAGCACATTCTTTGGTCAGAAGAAACCAAAATAAATTTGTTGTTGTACTGAGTTTAGTCGTTGTTGGTTCTTAAAAATGGACCTTTATTCATAGTTTAGCTAGTTAATTAGTTGACCACAACAAATAAAACTGTCATAAATGGACATTTTAGTCATTTTGACAAGGGCTGACCACTTTGGTTTGTATATATGCTGCATATTAAAGACATTTATTTTTGGTGTAAAGTGGATAGAACTGTCCTGTAGCATAGCAGATAGACTATGTCGGCTTCAGTGTTGCTGTTTTTATAAACAGTCCTTCTCTTTATCTGACCCAACAGGAACTGGAGAAACTGGCCTCTCGGAAGTTACGAATAAGCGCCAAAGAGACCATGAAAATCGCAGAGAAACTCTATACCCAGGGGTAAGTGTGTGCGGTTTAGGAAAAGCAGCATATGAATATAAATCTCTATAAACCTTTGATATTTTTGAGCTTCCATCTGAACTCGTTTCAGTCGGACAGCTGGCTTGAAGCCACCTTATTTCAGGCTTTGTGGTGTCAGTGAAATGGTCAAATGTATTTTTTGTTTACCAGATTGTTGAACCACCTCAAAGACATTCCTATTTTTGTACATGAGAAGGCGCCATCTGGCAGTTCAGGCGTCTCATGGATGAGTTTACCAGCAGTGTCATAGTTCCAAAGCAGTTCCTCTGAGTTCTTCTTGTAATTATGTGTGGTATCGTTCTGTTCAGGTTTATCAGCTACCCCCGCACAGAGACAAACATTTTCCCCGCAACTCTGGTTCTCGGCCCCCTGGTGGAGCAGCAGACTCAAAGCCCGGTGTGGGGGACGTTTGCCCAGCGGGTGCTCGAGCAGCCTGGGGGTCCCAACCCGCGGCAGGGGAAGAACTCTGACCAAGCCCACCCTCCCATACACCCCACCAAGTACACCGATACACTGCAGGTCTGCAAGACTGGAGCTCAGTTTGAGCACAGTGGACCACTTAGAGCTTTAAATGATCTTTGTGTGTTCTTTCTTTTTACTGTTTGGATCCCAATAAAATACACAACCTGCTGATCGGCTGCATGCCTGTCTGTGCATCACCGGTCCTTTTCACACCCTTCAAGCAGCTGAAAGGATTCACAGATCATCTACAGCAGAAAATTTACACTAGCACAAGATAATTTCACCATTCTTGTAAAGAAGAAGAAGAATGTATGTAGGCACGTTTTAGAAATGTGCCTACATACATTAGAGTTTTTAGAAACACTCACTCACGTGTTTCTTCTATGTCCAGGGCAACGAGGGACGTGTGTATGAGTTCATTGTGCGGCACTTCCTGGCCTGTGTATCCCAGGATGCCTTGGGCCACGAGACAGTGGTGGACATAGACATTGCCCAAGAGGAATTCTCCACGTCAGGACTCATGATCATTGCGAGGAACTACCTGGATGTTTACCCGTATGACAGGTGGAGCGCCAAGGTGAGCTGAGAGCGTGTTGAGATGAGTTGAACAATGTTTTAAGTTCTTGTTACTGTTCTGTAGAAAGGTTTAAGCAATAAGCTTCAGAAAATGGAACAAAAACTAGAAAACCCTGTCTAAATTACATGAAATGTCCTGCTTACCTGGAGTATGTTGTGTGTTCTGGTTGCCTGCTGCCGGTGTGTGATATATCCTAGTACACCCTCTCTTTATGTGCCAGGTGATCCCAGTGTACGAGCAGGGCTCCCATTTCCAGCCCTCTGCTGTTGAGATGGTGGACGGACAGACGAGTCCTCCGCAGCTGCTCACAGAAGCCGACCTCATATCACTGATGGAGAAGCATGGCATTGGTAGAGTACAGACAGGCTTTTAATGTGTGTGTGTGGTGTCGGCCACTCGCAAATATCATAAATGTGTACCTAGAACTTGTTTGTCCAGGAGGAACTGTTTCGTGTCTAATGCAAGCCGAACTGCATGAACCGTGTTTTACAGGCACAGATGCAACCCATGCAGAGCACATTGAGACTATAAAGAGCCGCATGTATGTGGGCCTGACAGCTGACCAGAGGTTTCTCCCCGGAGAGCTCGGCATGGGGCTGGTGGAGGGTACACACACACAGTACACACTGTATCACAATACACTGTAGCCTTGAATGCACAGCATTCCCTGTTTTCCTCATTACTTATTAATTCTAGCATGTGTGTTTGTTTAGGCTACAACTCCATGGGTTATGAGATGTCCAAACCAAACCTGCGTGCTGAACTGGAGGCAGATCTCAAGCTCATATCAGAAGGCAGGAAGGACAAACAGAGTGTGCTGCTGCACCACATCCAGAAATACAAGACTGTCTTCATTGAGTCCGTCAGAAAGGCAAAGAAGTTAGTCACGCCCTACCTCATAATGAGTTTGTGTGTTTCTGACGTACCGTCTGTACCCAAATGAGGAGACTTCTGTTGTTGTCTCAGGTTAGACGAAGCCCTGTCGCCTTATCTGGGTGCAGCTCAGGAGATCACCGAAGCAGAGCAGCAGGACATGGAGATCCCGCTGCCAGTCAGGAAGTGTCCTCACTGTGGGCGGGACATGGTGCTGAAGAAGAAGAGGGAGGGAAACAGGTGAAACGAGACCAAAGATGGAGCTTAAAACCTTTAGTATCACAAGTCATTAGGTGTAGGTGCTCAGTCCTCCTTCAGCTTATGATTATCTCCTCGTCCCCCACAAAAGAGTTAACTACACAAAGCAGTATTCATTTTTAGTTTGACTTTCTTTTTCGGTGTCATAAAACTTATTTGGCAGAAAGTTGACATCTGTGAAATTTATACTGTATTATTCTTAGACATCCATGTTTTCACAGCTTGTAGATAAAAATTCTCAGCAGCCAACTCTGATTTTTATTGAATATACCCACAAGCTCTAGCTTTCATCCCCGGGCCCTGAATACATACATGCACCCTCCACAAAAGTAATACTGAGTAAATATTCGCTGTGATGGATTATCACGTCGAGCTAAGCATGCTCTGGAAAACGTGCTGTAAATAGGCTGCCATAAGATTAAAATAGCTCATTAGCCTCTTGGCTCCCTCTCTGACCCTTTGTGTGCTGTCTCTGCTGTCCTCCCTATTCCTCTGTGTGTCTGTCCCCTGCAGTAAGTACCTGTCCTGTGTGGGTTACCCAGCCTGTAAGACAGTGGTGTGGTTCCCTGACACAGTGCTGGACGTCACCAGAGATGACAGCGTGTGTCCCACCTGTCAGCCATGGCCCATTCACATGTGAGTTTTTACTTTATACTGGATCACCTTTCACCGCTTTCACTTCACAGATCTGGAAACTTTACATTCAAATACTGAACACCATTAGAATTGACGTCCAGCCAAGCAGTCATGCAAATAACAACCTAGTTTCGGAGCTCCCTACACTGACTACCAAACCGCTCCTTGTTGGCCATAGCTTCCCTTCAGCCTAATAACAGGAGTCAGCTGAGCAGCATACTGTGAACAAAAACCCCCTCACAGATGACAACAGTGTTAGCATTAGCCAGCTAGTCTCAGAGGCTCAACAGGTGGAGGAGCATGGGGATTCTAGATATGATGATAAATAACAGAAGCAAAAGCATGAAGGACAACATATCGGACGTGTAAAGGTGGCAGACTTGGGGGGAAGCTAAGTCCCAGGAGGGCTAATCCAGGTATTTGAAAAGGCCCTAAAGATTCACTGTGGCGACCCCTAAACGGGAGAAGCCGAAAGTGACATGGATTTATGACCAAATACCTGCAAAACTAACAACATTCCCATCCTCAGCTGTGCCTCGATCTGTGCGCTGCCCTGAGCTCAAAGCACCGCTGTGCCTTAAGGTGTCCGTATGCTTGAAACCATCTAGTTCACACCTCAGATTGTCGGTGTCAGAAAATAAGTTGTGGCTCCAACACCAGAGAGCAGTGGGTGCATCTGACCTCCATGGAAACACTTCAGCGCAGCCTCACAGAGCTGGCAGTGTGGCTGCAGACTCTGGTCATGTTGAATCACTCTCCTGTGAGTCTGAAAGTGCAATACTAAATAGTGGAAATCCTCCTCCAAGCAAATAACCAGGCAGACAGTGGAGATTAACAGATGACAGTCTATCACAGAGGCTCCTCAGAATGTTTGAACACAGAGGGAGATCAATTTATTTAAACCAGAGCTTTTTACATACACACCCAACAAAGGCTCCTCTGGCAGTTCCAGGTTAACATATTAACCCAATGAAGAACTAATTCAGTCTTTGACATTAGTTTGAATTTCACTGCCCCGCTGGTTTGGTTTTACTGTGCACTGTGTTAGAGATCCTTTGGTTCCACATCGTGTCCTCTCTGGACAGTTCAAACTTAAAGGAACTACACAATACATGCACACATCTTATTATCAGTGGTCACTTCAACCTTTGTTTGCCACGAACACACAGATTACACTTGTGAGATTGCTACAAAGCATGTGTAGGCGCCCTCAGCTGTGTGCGCACGCCAACAAACACAGCCGAAGCTCTCAGTGGCTTCAGCAGCATGAGAAACTTGTCAAAATTCTTGTTTACACAAGTAGGCGTTAACCCCTTGAGCACGTGCCTCAGCTCAATCCAAATATAGGGCGCGCTCGCTAGCAGCGAGCCAAAGTGCTCCACACCAGCATCCGTTACCGTAGCAACCAATCTGGTACAGAGCTCAGAGTTGATCTACAGCACTTACTCAAACAATATCACTCACATGTCAGCTTGTTGACCAAGTTTAGACATTGCTCGTAGCACATGTGTAGGATTAAACTGCTGCTTGCTGCCGCCGCCGCCGCCTCGCTGATCACCACGGCAACTCGCTGCATTATCCCAACTTTGTCACATATAGTAAAAGGTTCCTTCAACCTCTTTTTGACTTGTCTTTAGTCATGCACAGTGTTTTTAACAACAAAATACAGTTAACATACCACAAGTTAAAGGATGCAGGATGGCCCGTTTCACATTCTTATATTTTATATTAGTGGATTAAAATTATTGATCCATCATTGTGTTGATCACTTTAATGTTGCAGCTGGTTAAAGGTGGAGCTAATGTTAACTATCTTATAATACTTATAATCTGAAGTACTTCTCATACAGCTGGGCAGTGAAAATACTCAAAAGTACACATACCTCAAAACTGAACTTTAGCATAGTACTTAAGTAAATGTACTTAGTTACTTTCCACCTCTGGAACATCGAACAGTACTGCCTGGGATAATACATCCATCACCTGTTTGAGTATTTTTATTAGTGCTTTCTTTTACACTTCCTTCATTTAGAGTCATGTACACTGTTTGTCTTGCTTCTCTTCTATTTGCGTCCTCGGTGGTTTCAAGATGCGCATCGGTTTCTCTGTCAGTAAGATTTCTTTGATAATTAATTGTTCCATTGTCAGTGGCTGCACAACCTCCAGTTCCTTGAAACAGCCTTTTTACCAGCTCTTAGTAATTTTTGAACCAGATATCTTTCACTTCCCATCACACTTGTCTCAGAAAAATTACACAGGTACTGCACCGCGGAATTTACTGATACTTCACAATCTAGTATTTGTCACAGACATTTCCAAAAGATCACATCATACACTCACAATCGAGTATTTGTCACAGTTATTTACATGTCATTATCCAGGATGCTGTTATTTTCTGACATTTCCAAAAGATCACATCATACACCAGGCCGGCGAACCGAGGGACGTGTGCTGTATCTTCACTTATGATACAAGTCACCTTTCGCTTTCATGTATAACACACAGTGTTTACTGATGGTGTATTAACAGTGGCTTTATTAAAAACTATTGTTTTAAATTCACAAATGTTTAAAACAATTACAGCAGGCACTGCTGCTGTGTTGACAGTTTCATACCGGGCTGAAAGACAGAAAATGCAAATAAATGTGGTGTCATGGTGTTTTGTTGTTTAAAAGCATTAGAGTATAGTCGAGGCCTTTAGGAAGCAGGATATCAGCTCATCAGTTCAGTTGTACCAGTTCAGGTCTTTCTCTACAGTAATAATAATAATAATAGTAGTGAGGTCTAGACCTTACTTTGTTCTGAGATGACCTTTGTTGTGATTTGGTGTTATATTAATAAAATTGGATTTACTGTATTTAGGTCTCTGTTTGAATGACAGCTGGGTTTGGGTTCAGACCCACAGCTCATTTTATTGTTGGTCTATCCCCTGTTTGTTCTCTGTCCTTTAGGTTGAAGTTCAAGTTCCGCAGGGGCAGCCTCCCTCCCATGATGCCTTTGGAATTTGTCAGCTGCATCGGTGGATGTGACGAGACGCTCAGAGAGGTGCTGGACCTGAAATACCTCCGAGCAGCAGGAGGAGGAGGAGGAGGGGGAGGAAGAGGAGATGACCCACAGCCCCTCAGACCAGAGCCACCCAGAGCTCCACAGTCCAATCCACAAGCTTCCCGCCCTCTTGTCCCCTCCTGGATCCCGCAGCCTCGACCTCCACCAGCTGGCAGCAGTGGCAGTGTAGACAGCAGCAACGATGTGATCGTGTGTAACTGTGGGCAGGCTGCACTCCTCCTCACGGTGCGTAAAGACGGTCCCAACCAGGGGCGTCAGTTCTACAAGTGCAACGCTGGGAGCTGCAACTTCTTTCTGTGGGCAGATCAATCAAGTCAGCAGGGGGCACCACAGAGCAGAGGGCCTCCACCTGCAGCACCGAGGACCTCCCAGCCTCCAAGACCCTCACTGGGGTTCAGGAACACATCTGCAGGATGCAGGGGTGCAGGAGGACGTGCAGGCCAGAGCATGTGTAACTGTAATGAGACAGCAGCGACACGCACTGTGCAGAAGGACGGGCCGAACAAGGGCCGAATGTTCCACACCTGCGGGAAGCCAAGAGAGCAGCAGTGTGGCTTCTTCCAGTGGGCTGACGAGAACGTACCTCCGCCAGGCAAGGCTCACGCACACACACGTTTGGTTTCTCACTGGCCGAATGCAATCTCTAAGTCCTAACCTTAATCATCACAGCTAAATGTCTAAACTAAAGTTTTCCATGTTTCTAAGATATTATTAAAAATATCTTAATAAAAAGCAGAGAGGATGTACACTCAGGTCATACAGAGTGAGAGAGTGAGATCTTTCCCACCTACATCTTCTCTTAATGACAAAGAACAGAAACATCTTGTGTTTTTTGCACTGACCTCTAACCTCCTTGTGCTGTGTTCACCTCTGTTGTGCCAGGTGGTTTCAGTGGTGGATTTTACAGTGGAGACGAAGGGAGGAACGGGAGGAACGGGAGGAGGCCGACAGGAGATGACACTGCTAGCAAACCTCCCACTGCTAAGAGACCTCGCACCTGTGGTATCTGCCATATGCCGGGACACACCCGCAACACCTGTCCCCAGCGGTGACAGCTGGCTAGACACTGACTGTGAAGCTGCGATGTGGAGTTACTGGAATTTTCTTTTCAAATATACAGAAACTCGAGGGGTGGACCTCCTCCTCTCGGATAGACGCCCCTCTCCTGGCCTTGGAGGGAAAGTCAGGCTCATTGTTGGGATTGAGTTAATCTGCTGTGTCTGTTTGGTCCAGCTTGATGCAGAATCCATCCAAGGATCCTTAAAGGAATTTAGGATCTTAGGAAATGAGATTTTTTTTTGCTGAGAGTTAAGATGATCAACACCTCATACGGTATATGTGGAGCCAGCAGCTGTTTAGCTTAGCATAAAGTCTCCTCCACAGCTCACTGATTAACATGTTAGATCTTATATGTTTAATCTGCACCTAAACTGAAGGAAAAAATACATTTCACATATTACGAGGTTTAAGTGAACAAGCTTAATAGTCTAATTTCCCGAGATGTCAGACTTTTCCTGTAAAGCTCACTGCAGCACAGATGTATGCTAGACACAACTGTTTGGACTGTCGGTCTGAACTGGAGGACGGTGACTCGGGCGCTGATGCTGCTTTTAAAGAATAAATGTATATTTTATAGAAAACCTGTATGATAAAACAAACCTGGCTGACTCGATGAATGCTAATAAACTTTAATATTCTGTCACCCTCCGTGGTTGTCAGTGCTCTTACTGTCATGACAGAGGTTGATGCTGTGAGTGTTGGTTTTATTTATTTTGTATTTTTGTCCTGGTGCTTTTGGTTTTGGTTTTATACTGAGTCAACTGCCTTTCGGTTTCGCATTCCTGTGGTTTTGTTTTTGTTTTGTTTTTTTACTCTTCAGCTTTCAGCCAAGTAAACTTTGGAAAGAAACCAAACTCAGAACCTCTGTGTGTAATATAACAAGTAAATATATAAAACGTTTATTTCTTATGAGCTGTAAAAACCTGGTAGGCTGCATTACATTACTGAGAACTGACTTTAATTTGAGCAAAGTGTACATTTATACTGTATGATCTTATTTTCTGTCCTCAGTGGTGGTGAAAGAAATACCTGACTTACTGTAAGTAAAGGTGTCATTACCACACTGTAAAAATACTCCAAACACAATCTAATCGTTTTTGTAACTCATCAGGCCACATAACATATCGATATGTGTTGTGTGGCGGATGGCTGGTCACACACCTGGCTCCACATTTTCCCCTCCTGCCTCAAATTCACCTGTTTGTTAAATATAAATAAAACAAACATCATTTGGTCTGTGGCCAGAGCAGCACATCTGTTAGAGGTTAGTCATTAAATGCAGAGCTAACAGTCCAACACTAACATAAACAGCTATGTGTGATGTATAATGCAACAGCGTTTTGTGTACCAGCTACAGCCAGATCTGACCTGTCTCGCCCTAAACTTAACTTAGTCCCTGTCACGTTCCTCAGCCCACTGTTTCGTGCGCCCTGCAGTGTACCAACTAAGTCGTGCATACGTGCGCGCCGTGGTGTACGGACCCTGACCACTGCGCCTCAGCTTGTGTTTTGCTTTGACGTTCAGGATTAGAACAAATCAGTTGTTTCCATGTTATTGTCATGAATCAGTTTGTTTAAAACCAGGATGTGTGAGTTTAAAGGGGCCTAACGACCCCGGTGGTGTGTTCACTGGCATGAATCAGAATAAAACACCTCAGATTGTACAGAAGACTGGTGTTGGTGACCATGTGCGTTCAGGCGCTGTGTGCACTGCAGAAACCTGCTAATTGAGGCCAAACACTGAGGGATAACAAGCCAGTTGCAAAAATATCTACTGATCATACACGCTTACAGAGAAACAAAAGTTGCAGCTTTGCGTGTTTTCCAGTAGGACTGCGATAGTTTCGTTTCCCAGAAGTGCCGCCTCTGTTCACTGCCGTGTGCAGTGCGCGCCCCGGGGCCTCACGGGGTCAAGACAAAGGGTCGTAAATCAGAAACGCATGGATTCCCGGTATGAGGCTGTAAGTTAGCCTGATTTTTTTCCTCTGTTGATATTCCAGAGAAGTGGAGCTGATGTGCTTACTGGCACGTTTGGTGAGTCATACGTGAGTCATAACGTGGGTGGGAGAGAGAGCTGTGATCCGTGTTGTCTTAGCAGCTCCATCCTCAGCTCCCTGCTCCGCTACACCAGTATCCGGGTAGATTACCAGTCATGTGATCGCCGTGTTTCTTTTATAAATCGCAGCGATAACCCCCTCCTTGCGGGAAAAGCGCTGATTTCATCCCGTTACTGCGTCCTTGCGGGTTCACTGGTGCAGCACCATGAAGCACGGTGAACTCATAACTGCATAGAAATGACCGCAGCTGTATGAACATCCAGCATTAATGAAGATCCTCTGAAGGTGTCTCAGAATATTAAAACACCACAGTGCAAGGTAAAATCACCAAACTCTCTGTTTGTCGGAAAAGTCAACTGAATGACTTGAAACAGACAAACCTACAACACAAAATGATAATAGACACAAAGCAGCAACAAAGGAATGAAAAACTATGACAAAGACTCAAAACAGCTACAAAGAGACACAAAATAGTACAAAGACCTGCGAAATGACTACAACCATATGGAGAATGACCACAAGTAGGAGCATATCAATCACATACAGCAGTGACAAAAATACTGTAAAGACAGAAAATGACTACATGAAGGTGAACAATAACCAAAAGTTATGCAAAATGACTGCAAAGACTCACAACACCTACAAACAAATGCAAAACAACCAGAGAGAGTAAAGAAAATAATACAAAGATGCAGAAAACAATTACAGAGAACCTTAAATGAGAGAAAAATGGCCACAGCTACAGGAAAGACTCCTTCTCTGCAACAGATGTCGTGTGCACAGAATAAACCAAAACAATAGATATGGACAGTCACAATGATAAGAACTTTGTATAAACATATATAATTAATAAAGAAACTAAATGGATGATTGACTGACTGATTATGAAAATATTCACTAGCTGCAGCTTTAATTTAAATCCACCGTCACCAGAAGATTATTCTAAGAATTTCTGTTCAGGCTGTTTCTATGATCTGAGGTCAAAGGTCACAGTAGGGTCAGTAGGTGCGAGTCGCTCTTAAGCCCTGAGCCATTTATGAGCACTTCATCCTGTCTCGTCGTCATCATCCAGCTTTCCAGCGGTCACCATAGAAACAGTTGCTATGACACCCACTACCCGTGAGTGATGAAGGTGTTCCAGGTGCAGAGAGACCGCGGACCGGGTGAGTGTGCTACGGCGTTCTCCTGTAAACTGATCCACACCAGCCTAAATGAGAGATAACAGGACTGTGGGCTGTTTTTCCACAGTTCTCACTTCACCTTTATGAGCCGTTTCCCCTGGGGGCCGGTGCAGATGTTCAGGTATAAAGATTAGCACAACACTGAGCAGACACTGTAGAAATCAGTACCTGGTCAATATAAATGTAAATGCAGTCAGTATCATCACTAAGATCTGTGTTTCCAGCGCACCACTCTGTAGCGAGGTTGCTTAGCATTCAGGATGCAAAATTAAGACTTTCACTCAGTGTTTAGTTGTTCAGTTCCATATTTGGATCAAACACGGCTGGAGGGGTGGACAGAAAGTGAAGTAAGGCTTTTATTTTCACTGCAGATTCAGATCATTCCTGCGTCTACTGCCGATACATAAAAACACACAGGCTCACACCATTTCAAGTTCAGGCTGGAGTCACCTGTGAAAGAGCAGAAGGCCTCTGGATCAGTCACTAGTGGTCACATTTTGAGGCTATGACTGAAATGAATGTCGTTCTATTTGTTAGGGCTACAGCCAGGACCCACTTAGCTTAGCATAAAAACAGGAGCAACAGCTGGTTCTGTCCAAAGGTAATGAACCCCATAGGTTAAAACACTTAAGTTGTTTAACCCACACAAAAAAGTGTAAAAATGAGAATTTCTCATTTTATGCATCATAAAAAGGCAAATTATCAATTTTACTGTTTGTTCTTTATTCTGACTAAACAAACAAGATATAAGGTGTTAGCTTAAGAGGTGGTTGTACATGGGTTTTATCGGGCTAGCTGTTTCCCCGTTTCCAGTCTTTATGCTAAGCTAAGCTAAGAGGCTGCTGTCAAACTGTTTAAAATAGCACCAATAGGCTATGTTAAAGTTTAAAAAAATAATAAATAAAGAATTAAAACAACACAAAGTCAAGTCACTTCAGACCTTTATTAAAATGTTTTTTGAAGTTTAGCCTAGAACTGAAAATACCAGTGAACTAAATTGACGTATCTTTGCGTCTTTTTTTAATAGTTTGAACAGAAAAATGTTCCTAAAGCCATTGGCATGCAGCAGCCCCTCCCCTCCACCCTTGGTTTCGTAATAACCTTGTTTTGACCCTCCTCCTCCTCCTCCTCCGCCCCTCTTCCTGCACATTTCTAATTTGCGTGCGCGTCCTCGTGAGCGCGTGCACGTACACTGGGGGCTTGGCCCTACGCAATGCAAAGGGGGCGCGCCCGACGGAAAGCAGCGCGCCATCCAGTGTTGATGTGTCGCAGATTTTAAAGTGAGGCAGCTGGAGTTTGGTGCGACGGACGCGCAGAGGCTGAGCGCACTAAACAAGTGTTCACACCGGGAGCGAGCGGCGCACTGATTCTGACGGGTTTTCCCCTCCTCCTAACTATTTTCATTTTTGCACTTCGACAGAGCAGCACAGACCCAGTTTGCGTCCTGTTCGGGGCGTTTGGAGCAGCGCGCAGGGATGGAGTTGTCATCCATAGGAGACCAAGTGTTTGCAGTTGAGTCAATAACAAAGAAGAGAGTGAGAAAGGTAAGTGACACGGACTGCACACTTCATATAAGTTACATAACTTATTTTCCTGTGGTTTTATCTTGATGGAGCGCAGTGTACCTTTCCCTGTCCTCATGCACTACAAAACTAGGCTACGCAGTTTCCTTATAGTTTACGCAAAAAGAACTGTTAAAACTCGTGTGCGCTTCGGATTAACTGCGCCAAAGAGAAACGTGTTTCACAGCTTGCGTCGGATCCTGCAACCATGTTGTGCAGCGGCGGAGGTGTTAGAGCAGCATGAACGTGTTTTGGAGGAGCCTACGCAGCTGTAGTAAAATATAAAAAGGGGGTGTGTATCCTGCAAACGGGTGCACGGACGGTATGTGGGGAGCTACGCAGTTATTTAGGTTACACCAGCGAGCGGAGCAGCGGCTGAGTATCTGGGTGAAACTGCTGCGTAATGTCACTGACGCTGACCCGTTGATTTACAGCGGAGGAGATGTTGTGGGCACAAAAATAACAGAGACGGACACTAGAGAGTGTAGTGAAGTGTTGGATTAGATTTAACGCAGCATGTGCACATACGATAATGTAAAATAAATAAAGAGTGCGGTGCGACATCACATTCAATGGTGGTAGCAATAATAAAGTTTAGAATGATGTAACATCTATATATGCAACTAATGTATTATTATTACTGTTATGCGTTTTATTTATATGCGCTTTTCAAGGAACTCAGAGACGCTTATAAACAGTTTTCTTACACATGCGCACTGTGCCTGCCCGTTATTTTGTCACTCGGCATGACTGTGATCGTTGTTTCGGCCTTGCTAGGAGGTGAGACTTGAACGTTGCGCAACACCACGCTGTTTACATGTTCCCCTGGCCCCACCTATCCGAGCTGCCGGGGTAATGTTCCAGAATGAGCCCGAACATTGTGGAACGCGGCTCGTATAACCATGTGCGGCACGTCACCGCGATGCTAAGAGGAAAGCTGCTGTTTGGAGGCCACCCAGCCGCGCTGTCATTGACGTCATCCGGGAGAAAAACACCACCGTTTGAAAGGGAGAAAAATGTCCGTGACCCTCCCTCCGCACTCACTCCACACTTTAAAGTGACAGTCGTCCTTTTCTCTCTCACACACAGCAGCTTGTTTTGGAGATGTAAAACGCACAGTGTGTGAAAGTGACTGTGCTGCAACTCCTCTGAGCCTGACTCCCCTCCCCTGTCTCTCTCTCTCTCTCTCCTCAGGGTAATGTGGAGTATCTACTGAAATGGCAAGGATGGCCCCCAAAGTGAGTAAGCCTTGAGTCATCATCCAGTGACCTCATCTCCTCAGTATATACCCAGTAGTCTTTTCAAAGTAATCTTCATCTTCTTGATGCTGAGCACCACATTCTGTGAAGACCGACACTACTGTTTGTCTCTCTTTGGCAGGTACAGTACTTGGGAACCAGAGGACAATATTTTGGACCCGCGCCTGGTGCTGGCCTACGAAGAGAAGTGAGTAATAATAGAAATCTTTTCTTATGCTTGCAAAGCACTTTTTCTCTTTTCCTTTTGTTCTCACAGTCTGCTTCTCTTTGTCACTCTCTCCTCTCCCGCCCCCCTGTGTCTGCCTCTCTCAGTCAGGAGAAGATCAGAGCTCTGGCCTATCGCAAGAAAGGTCTCAGGCCCAGGAGGCTCGTCCTGCGGGTAGCGACACTTAGCTTTCTTCTTGTCTTTGTTGTACCTGTCTTCATTAACTGGCAGGACTTGTTTGTTTAGAGATACCTTTACCTAGGTGATGGCTGTTGGTTGAAACTTTTGCTTACTGAAAATAAACCTCAAGACAGGTTTGTTTTGAGTTGAGCAATTAAAAAAAATGAGTGCATTTTTGTCTAATTTAGATTGTTGGAGGTTCTACATCATATTGGTATTGTACTTTCATGAACCTGGGGGGACTCACGAGATAGATTAAAACACAAACACTCAAACTGAAGCAACAGAGGCTGAGATATCCTGACCTTTAGGCTTTGTTGTAGGTTAGCAAGCAGGCTTTAGCATTTAGTCTTACAGTGCTGCTAGCATTACTGTAGACTTTTTAATAGTTTTAGGAGAAGATGCATTATTTCAGACTTTGGCTACACAATACGTGTTAAGTGGACCAATTTGTTGCTACTTTTGGCCTTTTCATGGCATTTATTGACATTTTCTGAGTTGTATATGAAAACTCAGCATAGCTGTCGTCTCAAAATGAACAGATATGATTCATCTGTTAACTTGTCACCTTCTCTCTGCTGCAGAACATCTTTGCCATGGACCTCCGCAGTGCACACAAGGTGGCAGAGAAGCCCTCACCCAGGCTGCGTCTCTCCCTCACCCGCGCCATGAGCACAGACGTGGACCAGGGCGAGCGGGGCAGCATGTACCGTCGCCCAGTCAGGAGGAAGAGCAAGCAGAGGGTGGCTAAACAACGGTCAGACAGATGCTTAAACAAACCCATCCATACACTGATAAAGAAGGAGGAGCCTATGGAAGATGACTGGAGCGGCACCAGTGAAGAAGAGAAGCAGGAGTCTGAAAGCACTGAGGAGAGACACGAAGACAGTTTATATGGTTGGTTTGTCAAGTGAATCATTTAGAAATTCAGTAGCCCACGCATGATCTTTGACCTTTACAGTATCTCTACATAATGTCTTTTTATCCTAGAGGGTCCAGTGAGACTCGTACTCACACAGTAAGCTTCTTCTAATCATGTGTTACCCCTCCCATCAAGTCCTGTTTCCTAGCAATAGTGTACAAAAACAGCCTGCAGTCTGAAGCTAGCGTTAGCTGGCTAACAGTAAACATGTCAGTCCAATAGAACGCTCAGGTTACTGCTGACATTACACAAAGCTCCAGTTCCTCCCAAATTAAAATCATATTAATTCATCACAAAGGTTTGACCATGCTAGGTGGCTAATGCTACCAAAACAAACAGGTTAGCTTTAGATGCTAACACATCCTGAAGGAAGAAGGCCACATCTGGATCCAGTCTGAGTCCTCTGGCTGCTTTTAACCCTCTCCATGTCAAACAGCCAAACCCATGTTAACCCTGGTTGTTGATCTTTCTTTGTCCCACTCTCTCTGTGTACAGGTTTCATTCCCAGGGCTACTGGGGGACACAGGTGGTGAGGCAGCAGTCTGAAAACATTACAGTCCACGTTACTACTTCCATGCAGCTACTTTTTCCACTCTTCATTCTGACGGCCACTGGTTCAGACTTTTAGCCGCCCAGAGCTCCTCCATGGCTGTTTGACATGACTACTGGCTGGAAAAACCCTTCTTCTAACCTTGGCTAGGTGGCAGGCGGGGCTGATTTACAGACCGTACTTTGACAACACAGGGTGGAGAAGCTGGAATAATAACAGGAGGCTCTAGGCAGCAGAGGGTCATTGGGTTTATCAGAGTGGAAAATCTTAGCTAATGCACCTTCACAGGGTGATGTCACACTGGGCTAGCCTCCGTTCCACTAACCTGATACAATCTGTCATTCAGCCTTTTTTCATTGGTCTTTATGTAAAAGATGAAGCGTGTCCTCAGGATTCTGTTCCCTTTTCTCAGACAAATCACCAACCACTAGAATGCTGGCTGTTAGAAGTCAAGACATATTTCGAATCCAAGCAGACACTGTTAAAACTCCAGTGAAGGAATTTTATTGGAAAAATGACCTGTATGTGACAATGATACGGAGATAATTAGTTAAGTCTTGTCTCTTCCTCTCATTAAGGTCAGTCAGAGTGCAGTTCCCCACCCTTGCTGGAGCGACAGGACCTAGAGATGGAGGTAGAGGAGAAGGTGGACGCCAACCTGACAGCGGCAGGCACAGAAACATGGACTGAAGGTCTGGGTGCAGACACGAGACAGAACCAAGAATTTGCATGCAACCAATCAGAGAACAGCGCCTCAGTGCCTGTGGCCGGACCAGGAGATGCGGTTATCCTCCACAACAAGTCAGATGGGGACACAGGTGAGGAGGGTGTGAAGTCAGGGTCGGAGTGTCCCAAGTCAGAGAGAAACAACACCACCTCAGTGATAGTGCGTGTTAACAGGAGCAGCGAGACAGTGGGCACCACCGCCGCCACCGTCCTCTCCACTGCTGAGGCAAGAAGTGACAATCAGAGCTTTACCACGACGGCACCAGGTAGTCAGACCATTGCAGCAGAGGATCCTGGGAAGGTGATCGTGACAGAGGTGACTCTCAACTCCCTGACGGTGACCTTTAAAGAGGCCACGGTAGCTGAGGGCTTCTTTAAGGACTACTGAACTGACAGAGAGGAAAACAACCAGAATCAGACTTGCCACTCATTTCCACATGTAAGTAGTTGTTTATGTAAGATAACACGTTTACAAAGCTACACTCATTTCCTACTGAGTTCAATGAAGACATTGCCTTTGAATGAGTGGTAATTGTATCATTGTGGCTCATTTATTAATTGATGAGGAGCCCGAGGTCCCAAAAAATGTGCTCAAATCATCTGTTGCATTCCAGTGGAATAGGTGGATCCCAGCGGCATGTTTCATTCCCAGGGCCACTGGGGGACACAGGTGGTGAGGCAGCAGTCTGAAAACATTACAGTCCACGTTACTACTTCCATGCAGCTACTTTTTCCAGGTCCTCTTTTTCCAGGTCCTCAGTGCTTTCCAGCGAGGCATTAGCCTCACTCTCAGATCTGTGCTCGGGGCCTGTTTCAGTCGCTCCTCTTTCTTACAATAATGTTTTGTAAAGACATCTTTGTTTTCCAGTATTTGCACAGACCGAACCACATGCCCTGTCAGTCTGTGCCACACATGCACAAAGCCCTGTCCTGTGTTCTATTGAGGTTTATTTCTGTCACACAAGAAATAAAGCAGAGAAGTACACAAAAAGAAGTACACAGTCATGTTTGCCATCTGTCTTTTTAAGTATGAAATGCTACCTGGTTCTATTTTTGTATTACCAATTGATAGTCCACTCTTTTCACTAGCCTTTGTGCATTTCAAGAGGAGATATCAGTTTGCACCGCCGCTGTCAACACTGTGTAGGGTAATATACACATGGCAGCAGATGTACGTTTGGTCAGATCGTAGTGAGCTGTTATTTATTGCATGTATAAGCTAAACTAACTGTTACGTACTGTATTGTGTTGGAATCTCCTTCTGACAAACATGAATTTTTATTTGGATTGCATTTCCAATAAATATGTACTAAAAGAAAGGCCTCCTGGAGCATATTTAATATTCAGGGGTTATAAGTTAGTTTTATTTAAATAAAATGTCAGATTGGGGGGGGGGCACACACACACACACACACACACAGTCCAGATCCAGGCTATGATAGTTTTCCTACTAGAATACCTTTCTTGTGATGCTATAATCATAAGGCAGACCTGACAGAAGTGACTCGTAGCATTTACTTAAAGCTTTTAGTGCAACACCCCACCTGCTAAAGATACACTCACTTGTCTGGTTTCGCAGCCAACAGCGCCCCCACACCACAACGCTTCCTCATGAAAGTCAGCACTGTCCAGCGCCGCAGCAAGAGGACGGAGAGTAGCTTTAGCCTTAGTGTAGCTTTAGCCTTAGTGTAGCTGTGTACAATTCTGAGGCATTTGTACTTTACTTGAGTGTTTACATCTTATACTACTTCATACAATATATTGTACTTTTTAATACTACTACATCTATAATTACTAGTTACTGTTCAAATAATCAGATTGTACATGAATGTATTAAACTATTTGTGCACTTTTTTGTTGCAGATGTCTGAGTTAACAGCTATAAACCTGTCTGATGGTTTCATTTATTTTCAAAAGCAAATGTAAGAAATTTTATTAAACTACAAAGCTGCTGAATTTAGCTTTTTTTTTCTACCCTGTCTTCATTAATAACCTCACAATCCCTTAGATTTAGCTTCTGAGCCACTAAACTACCCGTGTATAAAGTGGTTACAACAATATAACTTCCCATTCGTTCATTCACACTTTTTAAAATATTGACAAGTTTTGGTCCACTTGCTATATCTTCCTAAAAATAATGACGCTTGTCACTTTGCTGTGAACGCAATACTTGTGTCTGTGTTGGGACCCTGTGGAGGCAGAGGACTTCAAACAGCCCCATGCAGGACACATCACTATTGGTAATTTTCATTTTATTATAAAAACAGTATTTGAGTCCACAGTTTGTTTCCTTTGTACAGTAAAAAATATTAAACTCCCAAAGTTCTTAGCAGAAAGATAAAGAGGATGGAGATCAGGGGGAAGGAGTTTGACTTCCTCCTAATGAGGATGAGGAGCGGGGGCTTTAAAGTCCAAGGGAAGCAGCAAAGGGGACGAGACAGAAAGAGACGGAGACTGACGGCGCAGGATCTCCTCCTTTCTTCTCATTTCTGTGCAACACAGTTCATTTGGATCAAAATCCTCCGTTTACTCCAAACAGCAGAATCCTAAAAACACTAGAAGGAGCCCACCCCACCCCTTTCTCACAGCCCATGTAGTTAAAATGTTACAGGCACACAGGTATGCACCCCCTCCCCAACCCTCCACTGCTCCACATCAAGTGTCTTTAAAGGAAGGAGTGCACACACATTCAAGGGAGAGGGCTTACATGTTTGTGAGGGACGAGTCCCCTCCAGCACGAGCGATGTCCAATAAGCTGGTCGGGACGTCACAAACTGTCTGTTCAACACTTCAAACTCACTGCAGACCCTCAAGCACTGCAATAAAACACTGACAATTATTTCCACCTGGACAGACCCAGCGAAAGACATTTAAAGTTGAAGGAAACAGGCCACTACCCCAATCCTAACAGTCAATAACAAAAATATAATTCTCTACAAATTGAAGCAGGGTCTCCCACCCTCGCACAAAAGAAAACAATAAATAAAACCTAAATATTTGAAAAAAAAAAGATATGCATCATGTCTGGATTTACATTAATAATAATCCACATCACTCTGCAAAACAAATGAACCGACTGAACAACGGGAAAGAAACTGCACTAAATCATTTCCTCGTTAACTCTCGGTCACTCTTCAAATCTTAAAAACATTTCTTCAAAAAGGCAAGTACTCCTGTTTACCCCCCAGACCATGAAAATATCACCTTTGTGTTCTGTAAGAGGTGGAGGAGAGGTGGGGGGTGCTGGAGAAATCACCCCCCTCTATGTCCACAGTTGGCAAAAAAAATATATTAACAGCAATAACTTACAATTCATTTATTCTCATTTATTTAACAACTGTTTGATTTATTGTTCATCTCCCATAGGAAGTTCAGTTCAATGCATCTTTATTGAAAACATTTTAAATAACATTTAATAATAGTATAAAAAGAAAGGCTAAGTAACAATAACACTGTCCTGGGTGAGTGCAGTTTGTGCGAAGAACCACATCAGCTCAACTTGACACGTTGCGTAGAATTCCTATATGATGTCTAAAGGGTTGTGATTTATGTTCTGGCCCAAAGGGTCCTGACTGTTGCCCCCCGGCCTGTGGAGACCGGCCATGCCACTCATCTGAGATAACATGGTGCTCTGGTCCGAGCCATAGTGCTCCACAGAGTTCTGCTGCTGCTGCTGCTGCGGAGGGACCACCATACCCGGGTGGTGCTGGTTCAGGTGGCCTGGGTGTGGGGAGCTGGTCTGCATCTGGGGGGAGATGTGATGAGGGGAGGGCTGGGGCTGCATGCGTGGGGACGGGCTGGAGTGTGGCGGTTGCGACTGGGGCCTGGGAGAAGGCTGTGGGGATCGCACCTGGTTAGCCAGGGATGTGGGCAGGGCCTGACCCTGCAAGTGGGGGTGTGGCGACTGGGACATCTGCTGTGGCTGCTGAGGGCTCATGGGGTTGCTGTGCTGGGCTGGTGACCCCCCAGCACCCAGGTGTTGCTGCTGCTGCTGGAGCAGCCTCTGGTGGAGAGCCTGTTGGAGCAGGGCCTGAGTAGATGGAGGTGGAGGGCCACTTTGAGTGGGCTGAGGGCCCTGAGGGGGCTGCGGAGGACCTCCTACAGCTCCTCCACTTGGCCCTGCATCACACCCTGACAGGCCAGCCATGGCATTCTGCTGCTGCATCTGGAGATGGTGCTGGTGCTGGAGCCTCTGCTGGAGTGCAGCTGTGGCCTGCTGCTGGGCCACTGACCCTGGGTAACCTTGTCCCTGCTGGCCGGGGGCACCACCAGGCTGCTGAGAGCCAAGAGATGGACCTCCAGGTGGGCCCTGCCCTACAGTAGGAGGCTGCATTCCAGGTTGTCCCATGTAGCCCTGGCCCTGCGGTGGCTGTGGCTGCTGGAACTGCCCATGATTCACTCCCATCTGTTGCTGATGCTGGAGATGTCGTATCATGAGCATCTCTCTAAACTGAGGATTGTTGAGATTTCCCATCTGTGGCCCCTGGCCCTGTATGCCTCTTGCTCCCCCTTGCTGCTGCTGCTGTTGTTGTTGTTGTTGTTGCTGCTGCTGCTGCTGCTGCAGAGCTGCCACTTTTTTCTGTG